TCAGTGATACAGCAATAATTTTTAAATTAAAACAAAATCTAGATAGAGCATCTACAAAAAACAAACTGGTCTATAAAATTTGAGATACATAAACTTAATTTATATCCAATTTTTTAGAAAAGTGAACTGTACAAAAACTGAGAAATACATATAATGTTACATAGGTATACATTTTCAAGAGACCTATGAATGTCATCACTAAAGATATTTTGATATAGGCTTCAAGACAATTTGGTGGCCAGAATAGAAGCCTACTTAGAAGGAAATAAAATTAATGATAATGGATTTCACAATCATAGTCTTAACTCTGCCATTTTGAAAAAACAACTACCAGATGATGGTTAAGAGCCTGTTTTAGGTATCTCTGGCATTTACTAATATCTATGTGACCTTGACAAAGTACTTAAATCTCACTTTCCCACAGTGTAAAATAGAGGTTAATAGTTGTTTTTGGCCGGGCACAGTGGTTCACGCCTGTAATCAGAACACTCTGGGAAGAAAAGGTGGGAGGATTGCTTGCGGCCAGAAGTTCGAGACCAGCCTGAGGAAGGGTGAAACCCCGTCTCTACAAAAAATAGAAAAATTAGGTGGGCGCAGTGGCACACGCCTGTAGTCCCAGCTAGTGGGGAGGTTGAGGCAGGAGGATCACTTGAGCCCAGGAGTTTAAGGTTGCAGTGACCTATGATCACACCACTGCACTCCAGCGAGGGCAACAAAATGAGATCCTATCTCAAAAAAAAAAAAAAAAAAAAGTTGTTTTTAATCTCACTGAGTAATTGTATGGATTGAATGTGAAGATATAAGACTGTTAACAATGATTAAGAATCCATTACTGTGATTATAAACAATTATTTGCTAAAACATCCTATCGTCAAATATTAAAAGTGGTATCATTTTATAAACTCTTTTCAGAGAGTTTTGGCTAAGTGAAAATATTCTGAGTTAAAATGTTCTGTCAGGGTAAGTTGATTTTATTCATACAAATATATTTCTTTAGTATCCTGTGAAAAGTATGTATTTGTTGTTATTTTTTCCATTTGACTTATTATAACTCCATAAGTTTGTTTCTGCTGAAAAATTCCCAAATGTGATATAAATTACATTAAAGATTTCTCATGTGTGTTAAGGAATATTCTACCCTGGTTGATAGGAAATTTGATTACATGTAACTCACAACTTTGATAAGTAATACTGTTAAAATAAAGACATTTGTAATAACAGTATCTACATACCCGACAAAAACATTATGTTTTTGTAGATACAATATACTCTATTTTTTAGATATACTCTATTTTTATACGTTTATCACATGTCCTGGACTCTCTGGGACTTGAATCTTCAAACTATAGCAAAATTATGTAGCACACAGTTTTCGATGAACGGGGAAAATCTGTCACCAAAGGAGCACACAGTCTGATAGAAGAAACAGACACATGCAATAAACACAATAAAATTACAGTGTAAGTGCTATATAATAAGGCTGTTACTAAAATTTACAAAAACTCTTTAGGCAAAGCGGGTATGGAAAGACAGGTTTTAAGAGGTGGTGATTAGATCAACTAGGAATTCATTAAGGTCAGAAGGGAAGATGAGCGAAAAACAGTTCAAGCTTTTCAGAGAGCACAACACAGGAGAAAACACATAAAACACATAACATTTTAGCATATGCAACTAGACTACTGGCAGAATGTAGAATGCATGGGAGAAAATAGCAGAAAAAACTTCGTGACCCGAATTCACTACAACACCAGAGGTTTCCTAAACCAGAACTTAGAAAGTAGCTGCA